ATGGGGAGAGGCAGGCAGGTGATGAGGGCGAGCATGCGCATGGCTCCTCCTCCAAGTCAGGATGCAGAGCGGATTCTACAGGACGGAACAATGACATAGGCACTGAGGTCCCTTATCCGAGGAATCCTCGTGGACCTCGGAGCTTTCACGTGTAGGTGTATGTCATTGATCGTTCCCCGAATTTCCTCACCCGCCATCATCCTCCTCGAGGCCTTCTCTTCGGCTTCTTCAGGCCGCATCCCTGCTTCGCGCAGGGCGCCTTCTCAGTTCTCTTTGCCGCCTTCAAGTAGCTCTCCATTGCATCAGCCATCCTGGCATTTGTCATCTCGGCCTTCACGCTCGTCTTCTCTCTGCCTTATTCAACCTCACCAAGATGTTCTGCGTAGGTATCTTCTGTGACCAGCTGACCCGCGAACACCGAACAGAGGCCAGACGGAGCAGGAACAAACGCGAAACGTGCGCACCACTGATTCTACCACTATGGAGCCACGCCGTGACTGTACATCAGCTGCAAGAAAGACGTGTGCAACCTTTATATAACCTCCAGCGGCGAAAGCGGCAATGACGCCAGCCAGACGATGATGCCAGACTGTCAGTGCTGCTGGACAGGGGATGCGCAGAGCACTATGGAAACCTGGCTCACACTTCCAGTCCACCATTTTGCAAGGCACCGTAGTCCAACGGCAATGTGGAGGTAGGTGGCAATTTCCTCTGTGCCTCGGACCATGCAGCTGCGCAGCACCTATACGCACTGTGTAACGCCTAACGGACTCTCGCCCCTGCCACCGACACCGCACGACATTAAAATACACGAATGCCCCCCCCCACCGCGGCCCCACTGCACCACTCCACGCACCAGAGACCATCGGACGCGGTCGCTACACTCGAGTGTGCGGCGGCTGCTCCTTCAACTGCCAGGCCCACGGACATGGCCTCTCGCCCTTGGTGTGCTCAACAACTCGATGTACATATCCGCGCGCGTCCTTTGGAAATTCCACCGAACCACATCGCGTTGGCAATGCCCCCGACCACTCCTGGATGAACGCTGCCCACATGCCACCACGGCCGGCACGCGCCACGGGAGAACCGTATAACTGCTGAGGGGGCCAAAACGAGCCGCTGACACGTGGAACCAACGCGGATACAGAGGGTGAGGATTTAAGGTGCGAAGAAAGGGATGCCCAGTATAAGCTAGGAGGGGGAGCAGGAGAGATGAGGGAGGAGGAGGAGGACGAAGACCGGGATGAGAAAGGGAAGAACATAATCAATCAACATAATGAGAAGGAGACTACAAATGTAAACAAAAAAAGGAAGGCGTAGAAGAAGAAGAAGAAGAAGAAGAAAAAGACGAGCGGGAGAAGGAGAAAGACGAGGCAGGACGAGGCAGGACGAGAGGGACGAGGGGGAATGGGGAGGAGGGGGATGGGAAGAGGAAGAAAAGGGGGGATAGGGGCACGGGGGAAAGTGGTGGTAAGACAGAAGACAAGGGTGCTAAGGTGCTGAGGGAGGACAAGAGAAGAGGCAGGAGAGACGAGAAAGAGCGCGTTCTGTGGTCGCTTGGAGGGGGGAGGGGGTTTGGAACCGGACCTCCCCCCCCACCCCACTCCCTGGACCCCCCCACCGTCGGCGGCGGCTGGCGGCGGCGGCGGGGACGACGATTTCCATTTCTGGGCCGGCGCCGGCGCCTGCGGCGGCGGGCGACGGCGGCGAGGAGCGTCGACGATGACGACGGTCGTGGTGGTGGTGGTGGCGGTGGTGGTGGTTGTGGTGGCGGTGGTGGTGGTTGTGGTGGGTGGTGGTGGTGGTTTGGTGGTGGTGTGGTGGTGGTTTGGTGGTGGTTTGTGGTGGTGGTTTGTGGTGGTGGTGGTGGTGTTGTATGTGGCTGTGGAGGTGGTGGTGTGGTGGTGGTTTGTGTGGTGGTGTGGGTTGTGGTGGTGCGGTGTTTGTGGAGGTGTGCTGGTTGTGGTTGGGTGGCGTGGTGGTGGTTGTGGCGGTGGGGGTGGTGGGGGTGTAGATTGAGGTGGTGGCGGTACTGGTGGTGTGTTTTTGTGGTGGTGGTTGTGGTGGTAATGGTGAGTTGTGGTGGTGGTGTTTGTGGTGGCTGTGGTGGTGGTGTGATGGTGGTTTGTGGTGGTGGTGGTTGTGGTAGTGGTGGTGGAGGGTTGTGGTGGTGGCGGTGGTTCGTGGAGGTGGTGCTGGTGGTGGTGGTGGTGGCGGTGGTGGTGGTGTGGTGGTTTGTGGTGGTGGCGGTGGGTTGTGCTGCTGGTAGTGGTGGTGGTTGTGGCGGTGGTGGTGGTGGTGTGGTAGATTGTGGTGGTGGTGGTAGTGGTGGGTTTTTGTGGTGGTGGTGGTTGTGATGGTGAGTTGTGGTGGTGGTGGTGGTTGTGGTGGTGGTGGTGGCTGTGGTAGTGGTAGTGGTTGTGTTGTGAGTTGGTGGTGGTGGTGGGTTGAGGCGTTGGTGGTGGTGGTAGTAGTGGTGGTGGTGGTAGCGGTGGTAATCGTCGCTGCGTCCCCGCCGTCGCCAGTGCCAGCGCCGGCGCCGGCGCCAGGGGGGGACGGGTTCAAACCCCCCCCCGCGAGCTAAGGGAAAGGGGGGGTTCAACCCCCCCTCATCCCTTGGGCTGCCTCTGGTCATCGTCCCCGCCGTCGGCGGTGCTAGGCGGGCCGCCAGCGCCGGCGCCAGCGCGGAGGGACGGGGGTGGGGGGGTTGGTTTGAACCCCCCCCCCTGCGAGAGGGGGGAGGTTCGGGAGGGGGTGGGGGTTGGGGGGAGGGGAGTCTCCCTGGTCTTGATCGACGGCGCCGAATGTTGGGGGGGGGGCCCACCCCCCGGTTCGAAACGCGCCGCCGAATGTTCCCAAGGCAAGCGCTCGTGAAACGCGTTCTCTCGGAGATGAAGAACGGGCAGTGGTACCAGAGGGGAGGAGCAAGAAGAAGTGACAGGGGGAGACGGCGGATGTGGCGGATGAGGAGGGAGGAGGGAAGGGCTGGCAGGGGTGCGCTGAGGGGCGGAGGAGGACGGACGGTGGACGAGGAAGGAGGCAGGGGGGAGGAGGGAGGACGGCGCAAAAGCGGGAGGGAGGGGGCGGGCAAAGGAGAAGGAGGAGCGTGAGGAGAGTGGGCGGATGCTTTGAGCCGTCTGGGGAGCATCGAGGCGCGGGCCTTGGCCACCGAGTCTGGCAGCCCGAAGCGCGACACGAGGTGGGGCACCTGCCCGACAAGGGGGGGTCGTCAACCAATCCATGCTCATCCTCAGCCGCCTTGTTCACTTGCTCCCGCTGCTCCTCCTAGTCTCTCTGATCCATCTGCCTCCTCCGCCTCCTTGTCCTTCTCCGCATCCTCTGCCTCCTCCTCCTCCTCCTCCTCCTTCTCCTCCCTCCACCTGATTCCGCCTTGCCCTCCTCCACCTCTCCCTCCTCCTCGCAAGCGTCGTATGCACTGCTTCTCATCCAGCCTTTCCTTGTCCTGTGGCTCCTCCCACCTCTTTCTTCTCGTGTCCGCCCCCTTCATCGTCCCTCTCGTCCTCCTCCTCCTCCTCCTCCTCCTCCTCCTCCTCCTCCTCCTCCTCATCATCCACCTCCTCCTCCTCCTCCTCCTCCTCTTCCTCCTCCTCATCAGCATCAGCATCAGCATCAGCATCAGCATCAGCATCAGCATCAGTATCAGCCTCATCCTCATCGTCATCATCACCATCATCATCGTCATCATCATCATCATCATCATCATCATCACCATCAGCATCATCATCATCATCATCATCATCATCATCATCATCATCATCGTCATAAGCAGCATCATCATCAGCATCATCATAATCATCCTCATCCTCATCAGCATCAGTATCATCCTCCTCATCATCATCATCACCATCACCATCATCATCACCATCATCATCATCATCATCATCAGCAACAGCATCGTCAGCATCATCATTATCATCAACATCATCATCACCATCACCATCATCATCGTCATCATCAGCATCATCATCACCATCATCGTCAGCATCAGCATCAGCATCACCATCCTCCTCCTCCTCCTCCTCATATTCCTCCTCATTCCACCTGATTCCGCCTTGTCCTCCTCATTCCACCTCTCCCTCCTCCTCGTCGTCCTCGGATGTACTGGTTCTCATCCAGCCTTTCCTTGTCCTGCGGCTCCTCCCACCTCTGCCTTCTCGTGTCCGCCCCCTTCATCGTCCCTCCTCGTCGTCCTCCTCCTGATCATCAGAACTATCGTCATCTTCATCCTCATCCTCATCCTCATCCTCATCGTCAGCATCAGCATCAGCATCATCATCATCATCATCAGCATCATCGTCATCATCATCATCACAATCGTCCTCATCCTCATCCCCATCCTCATCACCATCAAAATCTCCTCCTCCTCCTCCTCATACTCCCAATCGTCACCATCCTCCTGCTGCCTGCCGTGTCTTATCCCTACTTGAGGTGACACTATCAGCACCACCACCAGCCCCCTGGCCGAAGGTGTCTCAAAGCTTGTCCTCTTCTACCTTTCCCCCGTCCTCCGCTTCGAGGAGTGGTCTACCCCTTGAAACTACGCCCTCCCCTGGGTCTGGACGTGGGGGGGTCACGGGTAGTCAGAGCGTCCAAGGTGGTCCTGGCAAGAACGCATCATCAGTCTCGATGGAAGCTGCTGCGCAGCTACTTGCAGCTCCGCCACCACAGCGGCCACTGCTTGTCTCACTGTGATAATGGTGTTTGACCATCCACGCCAGCAGGGTGATGGACATGAAGCCATCAGGGGCACCTTCGTGAAACTGCTCAACCACGCCCACCCCATAGAAGACAAACAAACAGCATAAACATAAACTTGTGGCGTTCCTCTCACAGATTTCTTGGATCTGCGCTGGACCCCCCTCCCTGGCGCGCCTTGGCGCGCCAGGGGCGGCGCTGGCAGCGCCGCCGGGGGGTCCCAGGCGCCGACCCAAGAAATCCGCGCGGAGCGCCAACAAGTTATGTTTATGCCGATGTTGTTTCTGCGTCACCTGCTTCCCGCATCATCAGCGCAAACTGCCACCCTTCATCCAGCATCCGTGGCATCGACGCACAGCCTTCTGTTTACGTGGCCTTCTGCTCGCTCCGGGGGCTGCCGACAGAGGAGCAAAAGGAAGAAAGCTGTGCAGAAGACAGCCCCGAAGCTTCCCGTGAGTGGCACGATGAAAAAACATATCCGAGGAGTAGAAAACAGGGTAGACATTGGGGTCAGGGGTCGTATAAGGCAGTACTCCAGCGCCGCGTGCGTGTACGAGGCGCACGGAGACGGCCCACACTGCGTGGATGAGATGCACGACTGCCACCTCCGACGTGCCCTCGTGAAGGAAAGCAAGCGCGTGGAGAGCTCCGGCTCCCATCCCATACCGAGGAACAGCGTCGCCTCCGCACGAGCGATGACGAGGAGGCCGCTCAGAAAAGTGGCGTGCGAGGCTCCCATGGCTGCGATGGAATTCCCCATTTCGCGGCACTGATCATACGAAATCGCGCTAATTGCAAGGACGCCCTGGTTACAGGTGTCGAATATGGCACCACCACTCTGCACACCCCCGATCACGAAGAGGACAGCCAAGACAAGGGATGCCGTGCTAACGATGTACGCGAGAGACATGGTGTCAGATGCTGTGATTACGTATGCTGGTACAGTGATACGAAGACCGTAGGTGGACTGGTGCGGCGAGCGCTGCGGCGGCAAAGCAACGTCGGCCCTGCTTTAGGTCAAAACGCCGTGAGCCAGAATGGCTACGGACGAGAAGGCAAAACTCATGGTTTGTTTCGAAGGTGCGGGGCCCATGTTGTCCTCCAGGGGGGGGGGGGGGGGCGGGTCAAAGGAAGGCCCCCATTCTTGGACTGATCACCCCCAAGATGGTCCGACGATCCATTCCTTAAGGAAGTCCCAGGAGGCGACGAAGAGCCTGCAAGATATCCCCCCAAGCCAAAAGGCCCCAAGGAATTCCCGAAGAGGCCCCCAATTGACCCTGGAGAGGCCCCCAGAAGCACCCCAAAACGCTCCAAGAGGCCCCCGCAAACCCGCCCAGAAGCCTCGAAGACGCCCCAAGAGACCTCTAAGAGCTCAGGGCAGCTACGCTGGGCATCGTGTCTGGATGGGATAGCGGGGATACGCGTAGCGTTGAAGAACCTGGTATGAGACACGATGAATAGCAGCAAACCATGCCACGGTCATGCAATCAGCAAGGTGAGACAACACTGTGCGGAAACATGGTGCATGAGCGAGACATGTGCATCCCCTGCTCCCTCCTCATCCCCCTGCCTCTTTCTCTCCTGCTTCATCCCCTTTCCTCCCGCACTATACTTTCCCCCCCCGCAGCCCCATCTATTTCCCAGCCGAGCCCTGAAAAATTCAGATCCTCTTCCACGTCATCCTTATCCGCATCCTCCTGATCCTCCTTCCTCCTCCTGCAACTCACCTTCCCTCCTCCTCCTCCTCCTCCTCCTCCTCCTCCTCCTCCTCCTCCTGCTCTTCGTCATCGTCAGCATCATCATCATCATCGTCGTCATCATCCTGATACTCATCCTCCGCATGATCATCCTGGCCATCATCATCGCCATCACCATCACCATCACCATGTCCATCATCAGCATCAGCATCAACATCACCATCATCATTATCATCAGCATCATCATCAGCATCGCCATCCACATTATCATCATTATCATCATCATCATCAGCATCATCAGCATCGTCATCAGCACTGTCACAAGCATCAACATCATCAACAACATCATCATCAGCATCATCACCATAACCGTCATGATCAGAATCATCACCACCACCACCATCATCATCACCACCATCATCATCAGCATCATCAGTATCAACATCCTCATCATAATCCTCATCATCATCCTCATTATAATTGTCCTCATCCTCATCCTCCTCATCATCATCAGCAGCATGAACATCATCGTCATCCTCGTCCTCATCCTCATGCCCATCCTCCTCCTGGTCGTCATCTTCGGCATCCTCATCCTCATCCTCATCCTCATCCTCATCGTCATCCTCCTTATCCTACTGCTCGTCCTCCTCATCATCATCCTCATCCTCATGCACATCCTCATCCTCATGCTTATCCTCCTCCTCATTATGATCCTATTCCGCATCCTCATCATCAACCACACCCGCAACCTCATCATCATCCTGTTCAGCATACTCACCCGTATCATCCACATTAACATCCTCATCATCCTGGGCATCATCAGCATCATCAGCGTCGTCATCACCATCATCGCCATCATCGTCAAAATCACCAGCATCATTGACATCATCGGCAGAATAATCATCATCAACACCAACATCGTGATCGTCATTGACATCAACATCAACAACAAGAATATCATCACTGCCGCCATCACCGTCACTCCCAGCATCATCAGGCGATATCAGCATCAGTATCATTATCATCAGCATTAGCATGATCAGCATCATCATCAAACCACCATCAGCAACATCATCAGCAACATCATCAGCAACATCATCATCATCATCATCAGCATCATCATCATCATCATCAACGTCATCAGCATCATCATCATTGGAATCATCGGGAGCATCATCAACAACATCATCATCACTGTCATCACCATCGTCAACATCACCATCATCATCACCATCATCATCATCATCATCATCATCATCATCATCATCATCATCATCATCATCATGAACAACACCCTCATTCGCATTATCATCACCGGTTTCGCCTATCACCATCACCAACACCATTACCATACACGTCATCATCGTCACCAACGTCACTTCTTCTGGTGAGGACCGTCTCCGTCAAACGCGCCTCCAGCATACACACACACACGTGGCCGAACGCGGTTGTCCATTGGAGGCTGCTTGTCACCGAAGGCGGGAAAAGCTCAGCACGGGTCACCATAACCACATCGGCATGGCCACTCTGTAAGAACGGTTTTTTGAAGGCAGATCTGCCTTCAAAAAACCGTTCTTACAGAGTAGACCAGTCTTTCCTCCTGTTTTTTGAAGGCGGATCTGCCTTCAAAAAGAACCGTTCTTTTTGAAGGCAGATCTGCCTTCAAAAAACCGTTCTTACAGAGTAGACCATTTTTTGAGGGCAGATCTGCCTTCAAAAAACCGTTCTTACTATGATTGGTGCTCACATGTCCCTCCCTGCTTCCCACCGTTTCCCCGCCGCTGCTGCACGAGGCCGCCTACGCGCGGTGGTGCCCCGGGGGCGCGCCTCCCGAACGACCCCTCCGTGGATCCCCGCTCCGAGGGCCCTGGCCCGCGACCCCCGCTCCGGGGGGCAGCGTGCCCCCCCCCTCCTCAAGTCAGGCCCGCGCTGCATGGACCTCGCCTTTGCAACAGCGGCAGCTCACTTGGCGCTGAGCGCTCCGAGAAAAGCGCGAAGTGCGAGGTAGCTCGCGCCCTCGCGCCGCCGCCCCCCCCCCCCCCCCCACAGCCCACCCCTCGCCCTCGCCCTGACGTCGCCCAGGCCGGGAAGGGCCAGTCAGGTCCTTGGGGCTCCAGGCCGCCTGGTCCGCTGACAAGCCCGGCTCTGGCGTCGTCCTCCTGTTCCTGCTCTTTCTCCTTGTCTTTCTCCTGCTGCTGCTCCGCCACTTCCTCCTCCGCCGCCTCCTCCGCCGCCTCCTCCTCCGCCTCCGCCTCCGCCTCCGCCTCCTCCTACAACTCCTCCTCCTCCCCCTCCTCCTCCCACCACCCCTCCTCCTCCTCCTCCTCCGCCTCCTCCCTCCTCCTCCACCCCTCCTCCTTCCTCCTGCCCCTTCCGTCTCCCCGTGCCGTCCTGCCGACTCCCCTTCCTGCCATTGCACCTCCTGCCTCCTTTCCTCCTCTCCACGCTCGCTCCTCCTCCTCCTCCTCCTCCACCCCTCCTCCTCCTCTTCCTCCTCCTCCTCCCCCCCTCTTTCTCCTCCCCTCCTCCTCCCCTCCCCCTCCACCTCCTCCTCCTCCTCCTCCTCCTCCTCCTCCTTCCCTCCCCCTCCTCCTCCTCCTCCACCTCTCCTCCCCTCCTCCTACCTCCTCCTCCTCCTCCTTTTCCTCCTTTACCTCCTTTCCTCCTTTTCCTCAATTTTTTCCTCCTTTTTCCTTCCTCCTTTTCCTCCTTTTCCCCTCCTTTTCCTCCTCCTCCTCCTCCTCCTCCTCCTCCTCCTCATCCTCCTCCTCCTCCTCCTCCTCCTCCTCCTCCTCCTCCTCCTCCTCCTCCTCCTCCTCCCCCTCCTGGCCCTGGGCTCCCTCCTGCTCGCCGTCCTCCAGGTTCCCGCTCCCCCCTCGCCGCCTGCTCCGCCCACGAGGCGAGCTCGTACTCCTCCTCGTCCAGCCAGGGGCCCTCCCGCGCCAGGCCTGGCCGCGCGCAGGCGATCTCGCAGAGCGCCTCGCGGGCGGCCCCCCCCCCCTCGCAGGCGGGCCGGCGAGGGGGGGAGGAGGCCTTCGCAGGAGGCGGGGGGGGGGTCCTTGGAATCCCTCGCGCCCCTGGGGGTCCGTCAGCGTCCGCGGGGCAGCTAAAGAAAACTTCTTGGAAAGCGAGGTGGCTTCCGAAAGGAGAGACAGTACGAGGAGGAGGAGTCGAGGAGGAGTAGGAGGAGGAGGAGGAGAATGGAACATGGAGGAGAGAGGTGGGGGGGACGGAGGAGGATGATGAGTAACGAAGTATGAGGAGAATGAGGAGGAGGAGAGGAGAGGATGAGGAGAGGGGGAGGGGGAGGAGTGGGGGAGGGGGTTGCGGGGGAGGACAAGCTAGGTGCGCTCGCGTCATATCTGACGTCCTACCCCTCCCTCCCATCCCTTACCATGGCGCTGATTTTCTCTATCCGCGGACGCGAGTCGTAGCGGACCTGTGGCTCCGCGCGCGCGTGCGTAGTGGGTGGTGGTGCACGTGCGTGCGTGCGTGCGTGTGTGCGTGGTTGTCGTGGTGGTGGTGGTGGTGGTGGTGGTGGTGGTGGTGGTGGTGGTGGTGGTAGCTCGGTTGCTAGTATAAGTGGTGGTGGTGTTGGTGCTAGGTGCAGATGGTGGTGCTAGGTGGTGGGTGGTTGAGTAGGTGGTGGGTTTGGTGGGTGGTTGTGGAGGTGGTGGTGGTGGGGTGGTGTGGTGGTTTGGTGGTGGTTGTGTGGTGGTCGCTAGCGCGGTGTGAGGCTGGGGCGGATGGCGCTGCGAGAAACGAGAAAGAGGCCCGCCGCCAGGGGCGAAGAACAGGCCATCCTCAAAAACGACGGAGGGCCAAACACACAATCCAAATGAGGCCCACGCTGCAAGCGGGAGCAACGATTCGGAACGATTCGGAGCAGAAAATGAGGCCGGCGCCTCAGCGAGAGCAGCATTTAGAAAAAAAACACAAGCGAAAACCCAACTCCGGGGAATCCTGTGTGTAAAAAAACAGTACGCGGGGGGGTGCCGAATATCTTCCGGACGCCATCAGGGGAAGTGGGAGAGTATTTTCATATTGTGTAATTGTAGAGGGGGGGACGGGGAGAGGGAGAAGGGGGACATTCGGTCTCTTCACAACCCGAACGACACTTTACAACCGAGGTACACGACTTCACACCAGCAAGCGACCGAATTCCCTGTTTATCCTTAGACAGCGAACACTTTACAACCATAACGGCCCACTTTACAACCAGAGCGACCACTCTACAACCCAGGCGGGGCTCTTTGCAACCAAAACAACCATTTTCCAACCACCCTTCAGAAGCGCGCGTGCGCGCGCTCTGCCATGGCTTCTGAAGCTTCTGAAAGCCTGAACGCTCTGTAGAGGCATCTGGGCGCCTGAGCGCTCTACAGGGGCTTCTGAGCGTCCGAGCGCT